GCTGAAGCTGCCTTGTCACTGGCTCTTTGGGTACCTGCATCATCCTGTGTGTGGTGGAGTATATGCTCCGACTGCAGGCATCCCTCTGGAGGCGCCTTCACGCTCCCTTTGCTGTTTGGCGGCTGAACTTCATGCCACCCCCATGTCCATCCTAGTCCATCCGCCTGCCTCGAACAGGGCTCCGTACAAGCGCATCATTCCCCAGGCGTTGGTGTCGTGAGCTCCTCACACAGTGGTGCTGTTCCCTGGCGTCTCCCACCAATCGATCTTCATTCTCATTAGGGACAGAACGTTCTTCCAGTGTTTTTTTCTTGCTGTAACCTAAATTCTTTACTACTTATCCTATCCTCTTAGAAATGGCAGAGTTTCTTCTCTGCTTCTTTGCTGTTACCTTTTTCTTGTTTGAAATGGGTTATCACCTCATATCAGTCTTCTCTAAATCTAAACAAACCCAATTCCTTTCCTGGTAGGTCATGTTTTGTAGATCTGATAACATTCTTCCTCTGGATTTTCTCCAACACTTCTTTCCTGAAGTGTTGGTGCTCCAGCTGTGGATTTACATCTCTGAACAAAGCAGAAGGAAAATCCCATGGGCCTGCAGCTTTTCAAGCCTTGAGAGAAAAGTTGCCATCTGCAAATTTAGAATTGGTTGGTTTTTACTCATCTGCTCATTATTATCTTGATATTTATAAAAAGCTTGTTGGATTCCTGGTTCCATTGTTTTTCCAGAATTGAAGTTCAGATGAAGTTGTTCACAAACTAAAAATAAGACATGCTTTCAAAAGCGTCATTAACCATTTCAACCCTTAAAATCCATTATCTCAAGAATTAAGAACTTTCTCAAAGATCTATTCTAATACCAAGAATTTTGGGTTGGTTGCAGTAATTATTTAGTGTTTCTAACTGAAAATTCCTAAAGGTGCCTTTGCAAGTTATCTCAAAAATGTTTGAGTTTGATCTCCTTCGAATGGGCAGAATTCAGAAGACTGGACAGAAATGATCCCTTTTTGTTGTCAGACATCTCTCTGAAACAATATATGTTTTTAATATTTCTTATGTTTCTGTATCAGTACCTTCAGAGTATTAAACCTTTTCTAGGGTATATATTTTATATATAAATATATGTGTAAGTATATGTATTTTCTATCTAAATATACCCCAGTGAAAACAGCATTTAGCACGTGTATACTGAAATTCAAAAAAGTAAATTATTTGAACAAACAGAAAAGAACGTGAACTTTTGTAGAACGTTGTAAAGTAAGATTCAGATCTGAAGACTCTTGAAAACCAATGTTTGCATGTTAGTTCATAATGCAGCTATGGAAGGATATGAAACATATCTAGGCCTTAAATCTGCACTTGTTCTACATGCCTGTGAAGACTATTGATCTCAGTTGCTGGTCTGTGAGCAGCAACTTTCTGGGCAAGTTCAGGTTTGCCTTGCTCGTAAAGTGAAGGCATAAGAGAATGCTTTACTCACACAAAGAAATAATTCTCTTGATAAGATGTTCCAGGCTGCCATTTGGTTTTGATTAAATTCATTGGTTTTGATCAGCGCTGACAAAAGCTATCCTTGTTTTTCTGAGTTTTTAAAGTAACTTTTTAACCAAGGAAACATAATGAAAATAAGTAAATTTTTTGTACCTCATTAAGCTGTGTTGGATGACTGTTGGCTATAAAACTTATTTATAAAACTTAGTATTGTCCCTAACAGTTTCTGTATTGCTAAATGGAAAATGTCCTGTTGTTTGAGGGAAGGACATCTCTGTTGTGCACAGGGAAATGTGTCTTCCTGAACACCAACCACACTAAATATTTACTCAACAGGAGAGCATAGAAAGCAATTGGAACAAAGATATGGTCAGTTTGCAAATGAAGGAATACGTGCATAGAGGGAAGTGTCTTGAAATATATAAGAGGGAGAGGCTGGTCTTAAACGGAAACTCTTTTAAGAGATCTCTTAAACTGCAGTACTGTGCTTTAAACAATCCTATGAGGTACGAAGAGGTCAGCTAAAATCTGACTTTGGGTTTTCTGAGCAGTATTGAGGAGTTTTAATAATTTATTAACAGATCGTGCAAGGATGAAGTTGGGTCTGTAAATCATCTATTCAGGTGTTACAGGAACCCTACAACTTGATGTGCACAAGTAGATCATCTGCTCTACTACTTTTTTTTTAAATTACCTCCAAGAATTTAACTCTTTCTCCACCATAAGTTGATATCTTAAGATTTGAAGTTTGCAAATACAGAGAGGACATTTTTTAAATGTAAATTGAACTGGAAGTCCAAATATTTCACATGTGGTTCATGTAGCCCATTAGAAATGTGCAGCATAGCTCATCTGTTGAGAGCATGTAGCATTTTTGATAATCACGTCGAACTCCGGGATAACGGCTATGAAATATTTCATCACAGCTGGGTCCTTAGAATTCAAGCTAAGGACGAAGTGGAATTGCCTTTTGATACATAGAGCTAAGATGGAAGTGATTAACGGAGTAGCTCATTATATTCCTCAAATAAGAGGATGCTATTTAGTGTTTGTACTACCACTGTCGTATTTTCTTTTATATACGCTTTTTTTTTTTTTTTTGCTCCTTGGTCCTCTGTATTTTTTTGCTAGCAGGTTTCTCCTCTCCTATTACACAGATGTTTTGGAAAAAGCACACGCTTATCTTACATTTTCGAGGCAGGTATAGTAGCTACTACCGCCTCAAAATGATACCCAAGTAGGTAGAAAGGAATAGGAAGGCAGATAGCACCTTAGTGAGAAATCACCAGTAAACACAAGGCAAGATCCAACTTGAATACCAAGTAACATTAATTACTTTAGAGCCTCTCTGTTTTCCTTGTGTGCATTGTAATTATTATTTCAGCCTAATGCAGTAATAAGGGTTGGTTTATAGGATGATAATAAGACTTGAGGCTATGACTCCAGCGGCTTTGGTAAGCAGAGCACGGGCTAGGCTGCAAAGCAAGACGCCGATGGCTGAGCTCTAGGTTGCAGCAAGTGGTGCCTGTGAGCGAGGGGGTGAATGATTTCCTCTCTGGGGCACCTCCGAAAGAGTGACCCAGTAAACAATACTGCTCTGTGCTGTCCTCTGCTGAAATGCTCCGCTCTGATCTCCATCATGTGAGACCAATAAAAGCTCCGGTAGTCAGTTCTCCCTGCACCGAGGCAGTAAAACCGAAACCCTGCTAATTATCCCAGTCAACATTTAATCACCTCTCGTTTACCTAAAATTCCCCGTGTATTTGAAGGCTTAGGTGGAAATGATTATTTTCGTTTAGTTCTTTCCCAGGATTGTTGTGGGTATGTTTTTGTTAAATCTCGAGCACAAGGTTCAAATCTGGTGAGGATTGAATCAAGCCCACCATCCTTCTGGAAATTATGGGGGGAAAAAAAAGTGTTTTGGTATTTTACAAATGTTTACATCTTCTTTATGATGAGACTTTGTAAAAAATTGTGTTTCCCTTTGGAGTGCTTGGGCAGTAAGCAGTGCATTTGGCCAGACTTCCTGTGAACTTAAAATTTGCATGCGGTGCCCTATGAATCCATCTGCTGCCTCATTATCAGTTATTAAAAGGTGTTCAAGATACTGATTAGCCTTGAGATTACCAGTGGGTAGGCGCTAGCATTTTAAACTGTGCTGAAATGTTAGGACCAAAGTGAAAATAAGAAACATGCAAGTAAGGAAAACAAAATTTTTGAGACTTCCTTTCCCATGCAGTGATGCAAGGTTCTGGAAGTGCTCCACATGTACCCGGGATGCGCCACATATGGCCTCATACACGGAATTGTCATGTTTGGGATATCTCTGGGGGTCCCTGAGTTCAGAGCTCAGTGCAAAGGACCCACTCTCCTCTCACCCCCTAGAATAAGTAGGTTATAGTGGAGGAGAGTTCTGCGGGTTTAGTCAACTAACTGAATTTCTAAGTGTGACTCGTGGGTGCATGTTTGAACACTGCCGTCTATTTAGGTCGATGAGAGTCACCAAACTTCTTCTTTTCTCAAAATAAAACTGCATTGTGCCTAGACATGTTGAACCCAGGCTGTTCCTGGTGTGATTTCACTGACATCCCAAAGAATTACACTAGAGATGAATTTGGTCTGGTATGGCAGCTTTTTGGCCTGGAGCAAATCTTTATAGCAGAGTTGTATTTCTCTCAGAAATATAAAAGGAACCCTGACAGCTCTGTAGCTCTGGTGGTGTGAGCAGGTGCAGCTATATTAAATTATTTCTTATTAAATTGATTCAGCAACTTGAATCTTGTAATTTTTGTTCTGTTATAGTTCTGTGACAAAGACCTTTTAAAACAGACAAATATGTATTTTTTCATAATCCCCTTGGGATCACCATTTTCAAGATTTCAGTTTGTGCGCATCTCTGATTCCGATTGTGTTATTTATTTGGGTAAGATCTAAGAATTACAGGCTTTTGCAGTTAATCACATTGAGCTGTGTCATCGCTAGTGTAATTCCATTTACTCCACTGACATCTGGATGAATGTGAACAATAGTTTTTGCTTTTGTTTTTAGGTTGAAGTGATTTTAGGCTCCGGTGGTCACTAATGGTGTAAACTGGTTTATTTCCCTTCCAGTTAGTGGAAATACATTGATTTATCCCCCACCTGAGGATCTGGCTTGTTATTTTTTGAAGGTGCCAGTCTTAAGCCAGATGAGAAGTCACGCGTTGCAGAGCTTTCCCCAGTATTAGACCCACTGTGACTCTCTGTGAAAAACAACTTGATGCTGTATGCATACATATAGTAACACAGAGAAACTAAGTGGGAAAGTCCCATTCTGACCACCTTATCCTTACACCTCCACTGGCCTCGGGTAGAACTGTTAATAATCTTTTACTTTTCCTGGATGCTTCCCATGGTTGCATTATTACCTTTACTGGTCAGCTGCTGTTAAGTTAATTTAGAGTCAGAAATAGCCAGAGATGTTCACATCATGTCTTTAATGCCTTTTCGGGTTGTTTGTTTGTTTTGTAGGTTTATTTCCTTTAAGACTCCAGGCTTAGGCTTGGAGACCCCAGCCATCACCATTGAGCCCAGCAGCTGGAGCGGCAGCGAGAGCCCTGCCGAAGATATTGAAAGAATGAGTGATTCTGCAGATAAACCTATTGACAATGACGCAGAAGGTGTCTGGAGCCCTGACATTGAGCAGAGCTTTCAGGAGGCTCTAGCTATCTATCCACCATGCGGGAGGAGGAAAATCATCTTATCAGATGAAGGCAAAATGTATGGTAAGTGGTGCGCATTTAGCCTTTGGAAATAATTGTCCCAGTGAAAGCCATAAAGCCCAATTTGTTTTTAGACAAAATTTCTGGCTCTGATTTTGATGATGTTGGAACAAATCTTGCAGAAATCTCTGAGGTTGAGGGAGCTCTGCTGGGCAGATGCATCGCGCGGGGCTGGCCGCACCAGGCCCTTCACCACGGGCACTGGGGTGCGATGGGCAGGTGCAGAACTGCACGTCTACCGAACGCTGTTATGTGCCTGAATGCAAAGGGTTAAAAGACGGTTTCAAACACATTGTGTAAGAAGTACATTAATGGTTTTTATTTTTCAATAAATGGTATATGAGAGGAATGGGAAATACCACCTGAGTGACCATGTGACGGAATCCACAATGTGAAATTGCGAAGTGATAAAGCTCCTGTCATGCTCAGGAGCCTCGATGAAAGACACCAGTTAGGGGTGTGGGTCTTCCCCTCGCCCCCCTTTCCTTTTCTGGGTGCATATGGCTGTAAATCAGGTGACGTGCTGCCAGTATCTCGTAAATACCCACTCCGTCTGGGAACAGAGACACTAGGATACATTATCCCAGAGCATTCTGGTTTTTTACTTTCTACCTTAACATCCCTGTCTCGCTCCCAAGGCCTGTTGCTCTTTCTCCCCTGGCCGCTCGGCACCCTCGTGCGGACGGTGCCGACCGCGGTGGTCCTGCGTGGGCCCAGG